AAGCCCCAATGACGTAGGATGCAACTCCACGTAAAAGCAACCTAGTAATTAACCGGCTACAGCGATTCTTCAGAGTGATCGGCAGCTCCAATAAAAAAAGGTTTTCATTTTACTCCAGAATCTTTACTTGAGTAATAAAAACAGGTAGTTATGAAAAAGATTATACCATCTTCAGTTATTTTCCTTATTTTATATAAAATGGATTTTATATAAGCATTTTAAGAAATATAAGAAAATATCTTTGCAGAGAAATGGGGTTTTTACTTATTTTTTTAATGTGGGCTTTGCCTTGGTTCTTCAGAAAACAGCTTGAGAAAATGTTCCCCTAAGCCATAAGGAGGTACCTTTCCCCTACTCTTCCACCTGGAAGGTAACATTTCCTGAATAAATTATAAACAACTTGGCGTGATACTTTTTGCCTAGCTAGGGATCCAACCTGTCCTGTGATGGGTATGCACCTTGCAGGAATTGACCATTAAACTCTGCTCTAGTAGTTTCTGTATAAAGGAAGTACCTGTGACCTACGAGGGGACTGATCAGTCCTTGGACCTGGTGGGAGGGCCGTGCTTTGAATCTACAAGGAATCTGTACATACAGAATCTGTACAATCTCATCGAGGGCTCTCAAGAGGAGCAGGAAGATAAGCAAAAGGAATAAAGAAGAGGAGAGAGGAGAGCGGGGTGAAGAGAGAAAAGAATCTCCCAGATTCAGGAGAGCTGTAACACAAGCCAAAGGCTGCAACACTGAAGACGGGAGCCAGGGACACAGCCAGCAGCGATGGCCTGGGAGGGGTCCTGGGCCAGTGGCAGTGGTGACAGACTGCAGGGCCAAGAAGCGGTTGTCCTGCAGTGAAGAAGGAAGATTGGCTACAGGTGTTTGTTTTTATCTTGACCTTCAGTTACACCCTACTGCTTCCTTTAATGAACCACTGAAAGTACGGTCTGTGGGTTTGGTGTCGCCCTTGCAATGGACTCCACAGCTCAGAAGAGAAGCGGAAAGTTCCGTGGGAGAGACGGCTGGGGTCAGAACTGAAGAAAGCGTTGGATGGGTGGAGAGATGTCTGACTTCTACTTCACGGATCAGATTCTGGTCATTGTCCCTTTGAAGTTAGGTTCTGATGTTCCTACACCCACCATGTTCTAGTCTTCTTCCCCAGAGCAGTCTTACCTTTTGGAAAGCAAGTCATATTCATGTAAAATCATCAGCAGGTTTTCGACAATGTTGAGTTCACTGATCTTCTCCCTACATTCCGGACTACAAATCAAAAAATACGCGAAGTAGTACAGACATGGCTTATCTACTCCACTTATTGAACATCCCACATTGTATATCAGGACGAGACAAATGCAAGCCATCCCCCGAGGCAAGGTCACATCAAATTCTAATGCTCAGTGAATACTATAGGTCATAAATTTAAACACCATTTCATTTCTTCAAAGAGAAACAGTCACATACTATTCAAATACACGTACACACGCATAGAGTGCACAACGATCCATGTATGTGCATGAAAAATAGACTTAAAGCTCTTTTGTTTCCAATAGTCATGCCACCAAGAGGGGCCAGGGTTAGCTGAGATGTTTGCAAGGTCAAAATATCTGAAAACGGTTTGCGTGCTAAAATCACCAGGCAAAAATGAAAAGGAAAAAATATTTTGTTTCCAAGGAAAGAGTAAGATGTTTTTAAAAGTGGGGGTAACTGAGGGTTGGATAAAAAGGCTAGGTAAATATTTCCAATCATGGAGAAAAAGAAAAATGTTTTCATGTGAACTGCCTTTCCAGCTTCAGTTTTAAAAAGAGACTTTCTCCACCCAGGACTCTCTTCAACATCCTCACTTTATTCCATCTTGACATTTCAGACATTGTGACTAGCAGGTGTCGGAGTGGCTACAGAAACAGACTCGTTTGCACGCCACGTGGCTGAAGAGTGAATGAAAAACTAACTGAGCGGCAGGCTATCAAATAGACTTACCTCTCCGCTAAACTAGCCAGCGCCAGCAGAGCCCCCAGGAGGACATTCGTGTCTCGGGCACCAAGTAAGTTGACTAATGTCTGAAAAATAATGCGAAATAGAATTCAATTAAAGAAAGACTACAAGTTTCTTGAATGGTCAAGAGAACGCTCTCGGTGTATTCCACTTCACCTTGAAGATAGTGTGTTTGACGTTTATTCCATCGCACCTTGAAGACAGTGTGTTTTTTGACAGATTGAAGGTTAACGAATATCAGGCTACACTGTAAGTAGTCGATACACTGAGTTGGTGATAAATGGCATAAAGGGAAACAATGAGTTTCCAGGACAAATTGGCCAGCACCAGATTTAGGCTAGTCAACAGAGGAAAGCCTTGGCAGAGACTCGCAGTGCTAGACTCCAGGTTAGCCTGTTTGTGGATTATAATTTGCAGGTGGCTTGACCACAATCTGAACCTGGGCTACTCACCTTGTGGGCTCCACTTGCAGTGACCCATTCTCTCTGGGCTTTGACAGCAGCCAGCTTCTGAAAAATATCTGTAAAAGGTGACAGCCACTCAGAGGGGGCTCCAGTGTGCAGAGGGTCTCTCTTGGGGAAGCGTGATGGGCAAGCAGACAGAGGGCAAACGGAGCACAGAGAACGCAAACAGCACGGAGAGCCACAGGGAGAGGGACGTTTTTGTTAACTCCCAGAATGATCCACCCCCACCCCCACCACCAAGCACAATGAGCAAGTATTTTATCATAGTGGTGTTATCATAAAATATGGAAAGAAAAAAAAACCCAATCTTTCCTTCCCCTGGAAGTTAACCAAATTGTTTAACATCATCAAGAGTTCAAAGCAAGAGCTCGTCTCCAGAAAGCCTCCCTATACAGAGTACATGGTGCGGGAACCAAACCCTCCACCCCGAGACCCTGCGCCAGCCTCCGACGCGGCAGCAGGGGGCCTCCAGCTCCTTCAACCAGATGGCCAGCACTACCGCATCATCGTTTCTTATGAGAGTTGTCTTCCTATCACTGTCTGGCAGATGCCAGAGCCTATGAGCTAACAGCTCGGGGTGGTTTCACAGAAAGGGAAGGGCAAAAAATTAAATTGAAAACAAAAAGGTTTTCATGGAAGCCTCCTGGCATTATTGAAAGTAAGCTTATGCTCAATAAAGATCATTCTTTAAAGGGGAAACCGATCACAATGATCGACATATAACCCCCTCCCAGGGGGACAAACAACAGACAAAGGGGTGAAGGGAGACAGCGGTCGGTGTCAGACATGGGGGAAAAAATCATAAATTATCAAAAGTTCATGAGGGAGGGAGGATGGGAGGAGAGAATGAGCTGATACCAAAGGCTCAAGTAGAAAGAAAATGCTTTGAAAATGATGATGGCAACATATGTACAAATGTGCTTGACACAATGGATGGATGGATGAATTGTGGTAAGAACTGTAAGAGCCCCCAATAATATTATTTTTTTAAAAGATCTTTCTTTAAATATGACACTTGTGTTTGCAAGGTCAGAGCTGTGCTCTAAAAACCGTCCTTGTGAGGAGATTTTGCCACTGAGGAGCGCAACCAGTGTCTTGGAGGCTCTGGATACATTCATAAATGTCTCCTTGTGCCTGCTGCAAACACCTTCCCAGCCTATCCTAGCCCAGCTGGAGGGCTGGCTGTGCCCCTGCCACATTGCTTACATGTCATGTTGACCAGCTTGTCCACGCTGTGCTGCTCGTCGCCGTAGCCCAGGTACTCGTTCGCCACCATCTCCATGTACTGCAGGAGGGACCAAAGCAACCAGAAAATCAGCAGGACACTCAAAGCACACACGCGCGGGCGTCGGTGCACTTCTTAAAACGGCCTGCAGGTGGCACAATAGATTCGCCAAATAGCAAGGGGTCCCTTTTAAGGTAGGGTTCTGGATTCTCTTGCCTGCACTGAAACACGGGGAGGACTGTACATGTTTGTGGTGCGACGTTGCATCCAAATGTAAGGTAACATGTAACGTGTACAATATACAGTGCATAGACTTTTAATTCTTCCATGTGCCTTTTTAGTAGTTTCATAACACACTGCATATATTCCATTGATCTTATACGGTATTCAAAATTGCATCTAACCAGAAATATGCAGATGATAATAATTAGAATAAAGTGGGAACTGGGTGGTCTGGTAATTCTTCCCTGTGAATAACCGATCATATTCATAAACGGGTGCAGAGGCACACACCAAATTTCAGATATAAAATGGGAGTCTCAGTGGAGAAGAAAATCCCGTTTAGCTGGGCGCTAGCTCCCTTTGGAATCCCTGCTGGTTACACGTTGGACTGCGAACCACAAAGTCGGCATTTTGAACCACCAGCGGCTCCTCAGGAGAAGGACGAAGCTGCCCGCTCCTGTAAAAAGCCCCAGTCTCAGAAACCCATGGGGGCAGTTCTGCCCTGCTGTACAGGGTCCGGATGAGCCGGCACCGCCCGATGGCCCTGAGAGTTACTTTCAAGGCGTTTCCTTTACAATACAGTTTCAGGAAAAGAGAATTTTATTGACTGAGTTAAGCCTCTAGTCAATTAAAAGTGTTTTTTTTTTTCATATAAATCAAAACTAGACACGTTGTATCATGAATGAGAATAGAGTAAAATAAAGGATTTCATATTAAATAACCATTAAACTTAATCTTCTGTTAATAATTCAGAATGAGCTTGCAGGGCTGTGGGGTGATTATGAAAATCAGCCTCTTTGCACACAGTGGAGGTTTCAGGAGACGGGTTTGGTCCAACCCCTTGAGAACCTCGGAAAGTGTGTTCCAGTCTATGAATAAAGCCAGTCTTTTAACGGGCTCAGCATACATACATAATAGAGTCACTCAATTGCCTCCCTCGGTAGCAAGCAACACAAAAAGAAACAAAGTTGAGATAATCCATCCCATGATCGCTTGCTTATCAATATTAATATTTAATGAGCATAGTACGCACTTGCTTTTGTGTTATTTTGTGGTGAGAAAGTTGGGGGAATTTTCATAACTAATATTTCCCCTCATTCTATGGTTGATGCAGTTTTGGAGGCATGGGCCTGCCAGCCAACGCCTATTCCTTTTCAGCACGAACTAAAGACATGTGACCTTTCATAGCATATTCTCGTTTCAACAGGCTGGGTAAAGTGAGCCCAATTAGCCCGAACAAAAGGTCACAGGTACCTCCCTGTTCTGACTATCATGCCTCGTGCCCACACTTCGAAACCTCACCTGCTCCTCCCCTTCCTTGGCAGGCAGCGAAGCAGAAGGAAGCTGCCTTCAGGTCAAGCACCCCTTAATCCCTGCCCAGAGCCATGGCACGAAACGCAAAGGCAAGGCCAGCCACCGCATGAGGAGTCTTACCTGAGCGAGGTTTTCGATCCCACCCAGGTTATGGAGTATTTCCTAAAAAAACAAAAACAGAAACAACAGGACACACGTAAGAGATGACAGTATAAGAGGATTCTGTTCTATAGCAAATTTCCTTATCAAGGCCTGGGATCCATGATATCGTTTCTTGAAGATCTACTGTTAACATCAACATGGTGTGGGGGCAGGGGGGTGGCGCTTAATGTCCGTTGTTCTATTTTTAAAATAAAGACTATCAATATGAACATTGAACTGAGAGTAAGAGGATGTGCATGTTCTTTTACGTCGTCAACCTGTCATCAGAAAACAAAACCCAAAAAACCCTAGGCTGCTGGATGTAGCAAACCCAGACAAACAAACCGAAGGACAATCACTGCATTGCATTCTGGGAGCTGGGAAGAGTTCCTGGTTCTCATTGCATTCAGCACATCGCATTACAGATGAGGGAAGCTAATACCCATTAGGGAGCCCATCTTGCCAGAGCCACAATGCCTGGTGGTAAATTCAACACCATCCAACCCCAGACACCTTCCCTAGGCCTCTGTTCTTAAGGTTTCGGATTAGTTTCTTCCTTGAAACCCCTGATGAGAATTTACATTTCCACTCCAAATACAAATACACTGGGATCAGAAGCTACAGTTTAACAAAATTCCCAAGTGACTGATGCCCAGGTGATTCTTGGGTACACATCAGATCTGTTAAAATGTAGATTCTGATTCAGCGTATCTGCAGGGGCTCAAACAAGAAGGAACTGGCTAGAAGCCTTATTTGCTACCTAAAGTGTGGTCCATAGACCAACCGGTTGCCTCACCTGGAATCTGATTAGAACTGCAGAACCTCTAGCTGTACCCAGCCTTGTGAATCACACTCTGGATTTCAGCATGATCTCCAGTTGAGTCACAGGCAAAATAAAGTTTGAGTAGGACTTTATGGTGTAAAGTATACAGACAGTGGCACAGATGAGAGCTTTCAATACATGGAATTCAGAAAAGACAAACCCCCTCAGAAACAGTAATGGGAGCAACGATTCCAGGAGGGTAGGGGAAGGAAAGGGAGAGGAAGGAGGAATGGATAGCAATGACGGCAGAATAACCCCCTCGGGGGAAGAATACCAGGACAGTAGGTGAAGGGATAGAATGGGCGGTATAAGATATATATAAATAATAATAACAACGCATAATATATTGAGAGTTTGCACGGGAGGGGGATAGAAGGAAGGGAGGGAGAAATAAGAGCAGCTGATATCAAAGAGCTCAAGAAGAAAGAGAATGTATGGTTTGTTATAATATAAGTAAGACCCCCCCAATAAAATGATTTATTATTTTTTTAAAGTTAAAGACTGTTCTTGTAGATCACGGGGTTTCATGAATTTCTTAGGCTGCTGGATGTAGCAAACCCAGACTCTAAACAGAGGGCAAGCCTTGCAAAAATGTCTCTTGATTCAGAACTGTAAAGCCAATTCCTCATAAAAAGACTGAGGTTGCCCTGAAAGTGCTAAGTAAGAAAACAAGTGGTGGGAGGTGGGTGCTGGGAAAGGGCAGGCTTGGGACTCTGTTCAGAGTGCGTGCTCGCAGGTTGTGCACATTGACACTCATCTGCCGGGCCGTGTGTTTTCAGGTGGCCTCCTTAAGTAAAGCTGTGTTGACATCTTCCTTCTTATTCAACATGCACACAGGGAAGTTATTTGAAATCTAAACATCAGCCACCACTGCCGTCATCCCAATGCTGGGAACTGCGTGAGGGAAGAGTTCAAGAGTGTAAAAGAAAACAATCTCGTTCTCATGAACGACAGACAGTGGGCAGCTGGGGAAAAGACGTCGGTTCTCAAGGCCTCTTTCCTTATTCTGCATGGAGACAACTGGTAAACAGTGAACATGCCCTTGTTTAAACTCAGCATGCAAGGGCACTTGAACTCAACTAAAAATCGTTTGTGACTACCTACTCATAGGAAGTCTCGTTATTGCTATTCACCGTTGAAGTGCTGTAATTGAAGAACAGAGAGAGACAATGTACACATTCCACCTAGTTATGGGAGGATATTTTATGCATCTTCAAACTACTGATATTATATTTATATAAAGGTCTTGGGTTTGGTTATGAACAGGGTACAAATAAGAGGGGCTTCAAAAACTTGGTGGGGAAAAAATCTATTATCTTTTAAATCCATTTTTCCACTAAGGTTTTGAAGGCCCCGCATATGAGCCCACTATACAGGCCCAAAGAAGGGACATAAACTTCCCGCTGAAAAGACTGAAGCAAAAGATCAGAATGTTTGGTGGCTTCTACACAGGAACCCCAAAAGAGCATGGATCTGTTGAGTGGAGATAGAAGAAACTAGGAAAATAAAAAAGATTCCAAGCAAAGAATGCAGTAAGCACAAAGGTATACTGATGTTCCATAGAAAGAACACTGAGACGTCCTACAGCTTTGGAATGAGCCAAATCTATAACTTTACAAAGGGCATTACTGGAAATGAGTTTGAATAGAAGAGTGGGATCAGACTCTGGGAAGACACGGACATAAGCCTGGATTTTGACTGGGTTGTGCAGACAATTAAAATGTGTGAACAAGGGATGCATCAGAACCAGTTGAGAGAATGCTCCTCTCGTCTCAGCATGAACTGGAAAGAAAAGGTTACCTGGGATTCCATTTGGGACTCCGTGGATTTGTTTGTTTTTAACTATTTTTACATTTAAATATTTAATATTTGTATTTAACTACTTTTAAATTGTGAATTAGGTGGGCGCTTACAATTCAGATAAGCAATTTGGTATTCACCAACAGTATAAACTACTTATCAAACTCCCAGATAGTTTACCCATCTCTTTGGATTTATCTTTTCTCCCTTGTGGATTATTATCTGCCCCTTCATCCGAGTGAGTGCATGGCCAGCCTCTAGCTATTGCTTCACCTTTCCTCCTTCACCGGCCCCAGCCTTGGCCTCTTTGTAACCTCCAGAGTCTGTTCCTTTGGTAAGAACAGTTTTTATTTTTCTTTCTTGTTCTAACAGTAATCACACATTGTAGTTGTCCTTTTGATATTGACTCATTGCCCTCAATGTAATGTTTTTGAGGTTGTTTATTGTGTCAACCCGGCCGATAAACGCATGTGGGGTTAACTGAAGGGTGGAGGGATAAATGGCTCAGTGAGCCTCGCCTTTCTAGTTCTCGGGTCTCTTGCTTTCTGATGGTCAGACCAGGGTGTATCTGGGTGTAGCTGCCTTAGCAGTTCACTGCTTCGGCTTGCAAGGTTGACTTCCTGCAAGACATCTCCAAGGAGAAGCTACATGGACCGATCCGGATGCAGCCCTGGGTGCTGGAGCACCCATGTGGAGACCCCTACCAGCGCTGAGATGCTTACATATTCACTGACTCGGCTTTCCTCCTGCAGTCGGCATCATTGCCTCTGTTTTGTGAGATGGAGGAGGACTTTGTGCATTGGTTTTGGACGTATGGGTTAATGGGTTAATGTTGGACTTGTGGGCTTGGGCAGCATTGGGTTGGGATGTTTTTTTGATGCACACTTAACCTTTATATAAAACTCTCTCTTACACATGAGTTTCTGTGGATTTGTTTCTCTAATACTTTAGAGACTAACACAGTTTTCTAATCCATTCATGCCATCAGGTGCTTTGTGGTGCTATCATTATTTTTTAGCAATGTGTAGTATTCCATGGTGTGCAAGTACCACAGTTTCTCTAGCCATTCTTCAACCGATGGGCATTTCAATTACTCCCATCTTCTTGCTATTGTGAACAGGTCTGTGAAGAAAAATGGACATTCATATGCCTGTCTTTCCCAGGACTCTTACTTCTCCAGGGGATGCACCCATCAGAGGGATTGCTGGATCATACGGGACTTCTATTCCCAGTTGTTTGGGGTGGCACCGTGTTGCTTTCCACAGTGGTTGGATGTATTCACTGCCCCAGCAGCAGTGTGTGAGGGTTCTGAACTTTCCACAGCCTCTCCAGAATTTGTGGTTTTCTGGATTTTTGTTTTGCTTTTAATTGTTGTATGTGAGAGGGAAATGCCAACGTTCTGTTGATTTGCATGTCCCAGATGGCTAATGAGAGTGAACATTTCTTCGTGTTTGTTAGCCATTTGGGTGTCACCTTTGGTGAACTGTCTCTTCTTATCTTTTGCCCACTTTGGAGTTAGGTTATTCGTCTTTCTCTCATTGAGGTATTGCAGTTTTCTATAGATTTTAGAGAATAGTCTCCTGTCTTGTGTCATTGCCCCGTAATCCCCCCCAAAAAAATTTTCCCACTCCATGGCTTTTCTTTGGATGAAGTCTTTTGATGCACACACGTCTCCTTTTCAGGTCTCAGTCACCTGTTTGTCTTCCACGGGGTGGGTTTCCTTCATTATTTTTGATAGTGCGTCTATGCCCTGCAATCGGTCCCTTCCATTTGTCCCCCTTTTCTCTATTCTATTCCATAGCTTTGGGATTTACATTAATGTCTTTGATCCATCTTGAGTTCGTTTCTTGTATATAGGATGGGGTAGTTACATAATCTGGGACTTGAGGTGGTAAACAATTTGGGACTTGAGCGGATTAAGAGTATAGGGATAGAGTCTAGGCTGTCAAGCAGGATATATCCATTGAGGCCTCTGTGTGGGTATGGCCTTCCCCTAAGGATTCTGGGAATTCCTGGATTTCCTCCTTGGAAGGTGGGAGAGACTCTCTCTCTCTTGGCTCAGTCCCTTGGAGAGGCTCTACTGACAAGACACATGGCACTGCACCAATAGACTGCATGCCCTCGGAGCTGTAGAAGACACATGGACTTACTCTGATGCAGCCTAGGGTGCTAGAGAAGCCACGTAGAGACCCCTGCCACCGCAGAGATGCTTACAACCTCACTCTTCCTGCATTCAGCATCATTGAACGTGTTGCTTCATTCTGAAGAAGAATTTATATATTGGTACCGGACACGTGGGCTAATACTGGACTTCTGGACTTGATCTGGACTGGGCTGGGACATTTTCTCAATATTCAGTTACTCTTGTATATAAACCTCTTTCTAATACACATATGTG